AAATAAAATAATAAATATTATTATTGTATTTGGTAATGATTTCAGTAACTAAAATACAGATAAAATACATTTTACCACGTTTTACCATTGAATAAATAAAATACATATTATTTCCGTGCATTTTCAGAAAATTCCGTAGCAAAAAAAACCGTACCTTTATCGAAATTTCCGTGCAAATTCCGTAGCAAAAAAAACCGTATCTTTATCGAAATTTCCGTGCAAATTCATCACGAATTCCTTATAAGTTCCTTATGTATTACGTGCATATTACGTGCATATTCCGCACATTTCGGCGCATTTGACAGGGTGGTTCCGTATCTTTTTTATAATGAAATTAAACTCACTTTTCCCACATCTTTTCCGCACCTTTTCCGTGTGCAATTTTTTATAGGGCAGTCTAGCTCCCTCATCACAAACTATCAGGTAGTTCACAACATTGTTTAGAAATCCTACTCCATCAGTCCATGTTTTGAGCCCAGAGGTATTTCTCCACTATATAATATGAAAATATTTTATTCGTACTATAATCTATGTAGAAAATATAGGTTCAAGCTACTTACTATATGTAATTAACTTTGGCAAAAATCCATAGTGTCAAATCAATTATAGGATGTATGAATTGATTATGATGTGGTTTTTCGAGGAGTGTAATATCCCTCAATGGATTTAAACCAGGGTTGGCAAATGTGAGGTCCATTGATGGTCTATTGGTGATCAATTGGGTCCATTAGTAACCATATTTAGTATTTTATTAATGGCAATGGACCAGTAAATTTACCAACCCTGATTTAAACACCAGCAAAAATGCTTTTAAACTAAAATAATGAAAAATCATTAAAATTGTACAAATATTACTAAAATCAATTGCATAAATTCTATCTAATCCTTAGAATTTTGGTAACATTTCTTGAATTTATTTTTTAGAAGTTCCGATTCATGTGCATTAAAATCCATATTATTTATGACATTATCCCAACCTCATGCAGTAAGATCTTTGTTGAAAAACACTGTGAGAAATTTGTGGATATCATCTGTAATATAGTTATCAATTTCATTGAAGATTTCATGCAAGGCTTTTTTTTGAAGGTCTGAATCCAAGAGTATCAAAAATTTTGAATTTGGATGTAAATCCATTATAAAGGTTGCAGGGAATTTATTTAAAAAGATCTCTGTGCCTTCATTTACAACAGATGAAACTTGAATTGAGCCTTCAAGGGTATCCTTGACACACATTGTCTATAGAAAATAAAAAATCATTATTTTCCCCAAAATACCAACAGAAAATATTACCAGAAACAAATTTTACTAACCCTACTTTCATCAGCAGCTACATATTCATCTTCCTGTTCATTATTAATTGTAGTCTGTGTTTCTGTTCTAGAATCTTGATTTTCAGAGCCACTGATGTCATGATTGTTATTCAAAGACTAGAGTATATTAAGAGATCTCAATGAAATTATCTGATTGGTTTATGTTCCAAGAATTTAATAAATAATTATCAAATACCTACTCTTGCTAGTCTTTCCTGCCATAACTGTTTTATCTGTAATGATACTTAATTCAACGTTTACTTTATATCAATTCTATGATAATATATTAAAAATTAATCCTTAATCATAAAATACACACAATAGATCAGTGTTACAAACCTCAGCAAATTTTAGATCTTGACTTTCAATGAAATTCAAAATCTCTCTTCATTTTGTCAGGGTTTCCTGCAGATTTTCAAGAAGCTTGATGGCCTTGTTTCTTGCTGCCAGGAGAAGACTTTTGTGATCAGATAAAATTTCTAATTGTCTTTTTAAGGAGTCATCAATATCACTCATTTGATATGTAGTGCAGGACTTCAAATACACTCCATTTAGTATAATCATTCAACTGAAAGTAATTTACAATTTGATTTTCAAAATCCATCCTTATAAAAAATCAAATAATGAAATTATTATTAGCTCCACAAAAGAAAAATACAAAAGTCAAAGTCGTGCAAGAATAAAACAAAAATATTGGCTTGATGCGATGCTTTCTGGTTAGAGAGTGGAAGGTGTAAGCTACAATGAGAAAGTTTGCCTCAGTGGGCAAATAATGTGTCAAAGAGGGTAGCTCCCCAAATCCCTACCAAGCATCCACCACAGAGAGGTACATAACATAATTGCTATGTTTCGCTCTGCAGGTTAGGAAGCATTACATCCAATATGCTAGAGGCAAGAACGCAGGTGTGAACTACAATGAGAAAGCCCACAGATGAACGATGCATCAAAGAGGATAGCCTACACCTTGCTCTAAACAACAACCGCAGGAATTAACTAGACAGTAAAGCAATCTAACTCTGCCGTACAGGTGTTGGATATTGTAGGTCACCAGAAGTAATCTTTTTTCAACTTGCTTTAACAACAGGAAGGCATGTGGTGAAAACAGTCAAAAATTTTATTACTTTTTAGAGATGAACCAATTTCAGAGGTACTATGATCTAGAGTTAGGGCTTCTATTCGTAATACAGTTGACCTTTAATTTGAATAATTATTCGAATAAAAATTTATTCGAATTAAAAAAATTTATTTGAATTAAAAATTTTATTCAAATTAAAAAGTTTTATTCAAATTAAAAAGTTTTATTCGAATTAAAAAGTTTATTCGAATTAAAAAGTTTATTCGAATTAAAAAATTAATTCGAATTAATATTAAAAAGTTAAAAGTTTATTCGAATTAAAAATTTAGTTCGCTTTATTCGAATTATTTGTTTTATTCGAATTATTTGTTTATTCATTATTGGAATCTTGGGTCTGTTCATTCATTTTATTAGATTATTTGGAATCATGGGTTGTTCAATTACTTAAATATTCAAACTATATATACAACAAGGTTTAATATTGATTTTATTATTATAAAAATTGAAATTAAAAATGAAACTAATAAGGAAAGACTGAAACAAGATTCATGTTTCTTTTAATAAATAGCAATCTTTCCAGTGAGCTTGGACCTTAATTATTTGTTTATCCGAATTAATTTTTTCGAATTATTTTGCTTTATTCAAATTCATTTCCTTATTCGAGTTAATTTCCTTATTCGAATTAATTTTCTTATTCGAATCGATTTTATTCGAATTAATTTTTTTATTCAAATTTCCTTATTCGAATTAATTTTCTTATTCGAATCGATTTTATTCGAATTAGAATTGATTTTTTTATTCGAATTAATTTCCTTATTCGAATTAATTTTCTTATTCGAATCAATTTTCTTATTCGAATCAATTTTCTTATTCGAATCAATTTTCTTATTCGAATCGATTTCATTCGAATTAGAATTAATTTTTTTATTCGAATTAATTAATTTCTTATTCGAATCAATTTTCTTATTCGAATCGATTTTATTCGAATTAATTTTTTTATTCGAATTAATTTCCTTATTATTATTCGAATCAATTTTCTTATTCGAATTAATTTTTTTATTCGAATAGAAGCCCTATTACTATCTAGAGTTTGTTTGGATCTGGTTTATTTTTGTCAAACAGGTTCGAATTCCAAACCAGATTGGAATTTTTGGACGATCTTATTATTATTATTATTTATTGTTAAAAAAATAATAGTAATTACAATGAACTATTCTGATTCTATATCTTTCATTAGAATCCCAACTTGGTGCAAAAACATTCATGAATTTCATATTTCGCTTTTTGGCTTTACTGGTCCAGAAGTCTGTAGTTAATCAATTCTTTGTTGAAAAATTTCACGTAATGCTTCTTTGTTAAAACTGCAACTTTTTCCAATCATAGTTCTTAATTTTTTTGCACATGATACAGAAAATGCTGGATCAAAAACTTTCATCTTTTCTATATATGCTTCATTAGTAACAATAGACAAAGGTTGGTTGGTTTTCAAAATCCATTTAAGCAGTGCCTCTTCTTTTTTTTCTGAATATATGGAGGATGGTTATGAGTTGTTTGTGAATAATCAGTTATTTTTCTTTGTGACTAAATGTTAAAAAAGATAATATATTTGATTAAAAGATTAAAAATATTAATTTAATCAAATTAATCAAAATATTAATTTAATTAAAAATATTAAATATGAGATGACATATATTCTTACCTTTTTTCTTTCATCAACTATTTCTACTTCATTGATACCATGCACTTCATCTGAATGTCTTTTCAAGAATACCCAAAACTTTTATATGATTTTTGCAACACCTCACATTTTTATCCAAAATGTTACAAATGCGCAATTCTTCACCAGTTGTAGGATCAAAAGCTCTTTCAAAATAATCATTAGTAAAACTATAAATTTTTTCTTTTCTTTTTACTTATTCTAGATATATTTGAAGATGAAGCTGTATTATCTGTAGCAAAGAATGAGTATTATTAACATAACACGTATGAATTATTGTTAAAAGGTCATTCATTAATTATACTTACTCTCAACATAAATCACTTCATTATTATTATATACTATTAATAATATTAGCATCATCATCATCATTATTAACAGACATTTTGAAATCGTCTTTTTATTAAAATAATTTTTTTGGATTACATATTAATATTTAATAGAAACCGGATTCAACCCTCTCTTTTTTTTAAGAACCGGTTATCCGTTTTCAAACCGGATCCAAACTCTACTATGATCCTTGATTATATATATGGGTCCATACTTATGTAAACTCGATAAGTCGGTCATGTCCCGTGACCGAGTTATTGAATTTCACGTGATTTTTTAAATTTAAAATTTTTTTTTCATGCAAGATGAAAGAAAAAAGTTTAATCTCTTGAAGAAGTCTTTCAAGAAAGAAGTTATGTGGGCACAAAATGTCCTTTGTTGAACTATATATTACGTTTTCTATTCTAGAAATACTAGATCATCTAGTGATGAAGATTACCTTTATTGTAGAATTACTGAATTCATTCTAGAAAATTAGAGTTTCATGGTGAATGAACCCAATTATATCAAATAGATTATATATTGAGTTACACATCGATAAACAACAGCAAATAGGGATGTAGTGAACTGAAATATAGAAAAGTAAGAACTAAACCACGAGGTAGTCGATATAAAAATGACATCATCATCATAATATTTTTTGTATGAGTAATAAATAAATATGTTAATTTTCTATTATGTAATTAATTGAACAATGCCGCCAATTTTTTTATTTTTTCTTCTGAAACATAACGTGCTTTAATAATAACTGGTTGATCGATAAATAGCTTTTACTCAAAACTTTACCATATTAATCAATATAAATATAATAAATACACAAACCAACTTATTGCTTTAGAGGGTATCAACCACAGATACAAGATTATTATAATTTTTCCTTGACAGACAATAGAATTTACCAAGTCATGTGAAAAGATCTCATACCAACTTTACTAATAATAACCGGGATGATATTTATCCATGTTGGTGGTACTCGTTACCTTTTTAATTATTTTTCTTTGAAAAAAAGCCTATCGTTAATTGCCACGCTTTTTTCTATTCTTATAGATAATATAATTTAGTTAATGGATTTATTTGGGTAATAAATTAAAAAGAAAGCTTATATTTTTAAAAATTTTAACCAATCATAGATGTATGCATGCATGCAATGTACAAGTTGTATATATATAAAATATTAACGTTATTAGCATATAGATATGAATACTGACTAACTTGTCAAGCTTCAAGCTCAAAAGATTCCATTTCATATTTTATGATAAGAAAAAAATATCAATTGTTATTTATTTATTGATTTATCCATAGATTGATTATTACATCCATACATTCATTATTTGTTCGTTCATTGATAGGCGATAAAAGGAACACCAAGACATAAGGTTAGAAAGGTATATAAACTGTTAATAGTGATGATAAAAAACCACGGTCTTCACTTAAGAAACTTAACATTCAACGAATTCAGCAATTAAAGAAGATGGATCTTCATTTTAGATTAAAGAATCATTGTCATATTTAATATTTAATATTCATCATCATCATCATCATCGTCATTATCATCATCATCATTATTCATCATCTTATTATTCATCATTATTATTCATTCAATATTTATCATCATTATGATATATCATCAACATTTATCATTATTATAATTTCTTTCTCTTAAAAATTAAAAATAAACAATTATTAGTTGAACAGCATCCGGTTCATTCAAATACATTTGTAATTAATTAATGGCCAAGGCGAAGAAAAGAATTATCAGCAATTTTTGAATCAACTAGGACCAGATTCACTTGCATCACTTTTGCAAATTGGCAGAATCTTGTCATCTCAACTTATCATCTCAAGGTGTACAGGGTAATATTGTTGGTGACAGTCGTGCTACTGGTTCAGCAAATGATGATGGCATTCCAGAATTAGTCGGAAATTCTGAAGCTGCAAGTGAAAAGAAAGAAATAGCAAAAGCGTCATCAGCAACAAAAGAAAAATTGTTACGCTTAATAGTAATTATGTTATTACTACCACTACCACTACCACCGATGATGATGATGACAGGGCTCAACCCAAAATAACTGCTGCACCTCCACATGGTTGTAGTAATTATTTCCCCTCTTTTGGTGGCGAGTTAATCAAGTATTGATTTTTTTTAATTTCATCAATTTAAAGACATTTTATTTTTTGATTAAAGGAAATTATTTTGAAAAAAAATGCATCATCACAATTATTTTATTTATATCGTTTAATAAAGTAAAAAAAATTAGATCATTAAAATAATAATCCCGAACGTGTAACAGACCTTTGAATGCAACCTATTTTCCGCAGTTACAAAGATACCGTCTTTCCTAACATGTTAAATACAAGAAAGTTGCACATAATTTATTAATACATTGATAAATAAAAATAACAAATAAAAAAATTGACGAATTGTTACATTCAAGCAGTTTATTATTTGATGAATGAAAATTCCAAATTTAAACTTATTAATAAATATAATGTTCTATTTATTCTATTTAGAAATGAAAAAACAAGCCAAGAAGAAGATTATCTTTTTTCATATTTCATATAACGATAATTTTGTCGTATCGTTTGTTCAAGTAACAATAAACAATAATAAGAATCAATCAATCAATCAATCAAATTTCTTCACGTTTTCCATGAAAAGATGCAAAGAAAGAAATGAAGGTAAAATCATATAATAAAAATAAAATAAAATATGATTGATTATGTGCATACACCAATTACCCCTGAGAAAAAAGGATACGCGCTAACAAATGTTTGTATCATATCATGCGAGAATCAGCTGAATCAGCTACACGTAAAGTGTTTACGCAATCATTTCAATTATTGTTGCAATTGATAACAGTTTGGTAATTGACTAATAAATGAATGGACGATTAAAATAAAATGACAAACAAAATAAAGAATCTATTATTAGAAGTATGAACGCCGCGAGACAATTGTTATGACCGGTTACGCACCAATCATTTAGACAGATTACATACAGATTGTTAATAAAGAAGAAGGGAAGAATAGGAAAAAAAAACAAATGAAAAGTGAAGAAAGCGTAAGAAAGCGTAAGAAAGCGTGAAAGAAGAGAGAGAGAGAGAGAGAGATCTAATAATATTTTTTTTTCATTTCCGTTTGAGTGTTTATTTTATTTTATTTTATTTTATTTTTTGGGGGCACAAAATGAGTTTATTTTTAGCCCCACCATTGTAATTGTGACTAATATGTATAAGGAACAATCAAGAAATTTCAAAGGCAAAGACAGTCAGCCATTTAAGACTTTTTTTCTTTGTGATAATCAAAAAAATTATGTAGCGCTTGAAAAACAATTACGTAAAACAATGAAGATGTTAGTGTCTCACATGTTGTAATAGTCGAAGAATAAAGTTTATTCTGGAAGCTAATTTCTTCATAGTAATAGACAAATTTGGGTGAACAATAAATTTCCATAATTAGTTAAGTTTACAAAGAGAATCAATTTTACAGTAGTGGTAACGATTCCTATTTCATATCACGTTATTAATTTTTAATATTCTTATTTTATGTGTGGAACATAAAATGCTAATAATAATATTTCACGTATTACTGTGTTTATTGAAAAGTTTCTATTAAGGAATATAATAATGATAAAAATGATATTTCTAAATAAGAAATCTGATAAAACAAATAGCGGAATCCGCTCTCCGACATAATTGCATTATCATTATATATACAACAACAAGGAGATGGATTTAAATGTATATTGACTTTTCAACAAAAACATTTATTTCAAAAATTGTTTGCGAAAAAAAAAAAAAATGGATCACTATAAAAAACATCCAGATCATAATGGCAAGGGCAACACTCAACGGGTTAAATTCAGTCTAAATAAATATCATCCGTTTCCCTCTAATCTCAATCATTATAATCATAATCACAATCATAATAACAAATCAAATTCGTCGTGTCATTTATCGCCACCTTCACCGGCCCATTCATTTTCTTCTTCCCCTTCTCCTTCCCCTTCCCCTTCCCCTCTCCCTCTCCCTCTTCCCAACAGTCCCATAATTATTTGTCCTCCTAATTCATCTCATTCATCTCCTTCATCTCCACTTGCCAAAACCGCCACAAACAAGTCAAAATTTTTATCTCCTGATTATAATAGTAATAATAATAACAATGATAACAATAATAACAACAATATAATAGCGACATTATCAAATACGGGAATAGATCAAAGTTTGATCGATATGGCGAATTCTGAAGGGAAGATTGTTAAAAGGAATTGTTCGCGTTGTAAAGAAGCGAAAAAATATGTTAAATCATTAAATTCAAAAGTCTCTCGAATTGAAGACTTGGTGAATTCTCTGGCGAAGTCTGTCCAAGACACATTAATCAACGATAACAAGGATCAAGATCATAATATGGTAAATATTAAGATGCGACAACTTGTGTGTATTTTAAAAAACGAATTATTGTATGTGTGTGTGTGATTAATAAATTTTCTTTTATTTAATTATAAAATTTAGCAAACAAACCAACAAACTCTACCGGAAATCCTTTTAAATGGACAAAATATTAATACAATCAATGCAATAAACAACAATATCGGTGGTGACAGCGGCAGCAACAATGTAAAAAATCGAGTGAAGACAATGCCTTTCAATAGGATTGCAATTAATAAAAGAAATTTATGGAATTATAGCATAGAAGATTTAATAAAATTAGTTTATAACATTAACAATTATGTTACTTCTCAGAACAACGACAACGACGACGAATACAACAACAGAGATAATAATAGAGTCAGAAATAGAATTATGTAAATTATTCTTTAAGAACTTTATAAGGAAATTCACATTACTTTATTATAGATTGTCTTTTTTAATCTTATTTACCTTTTTATTTACTCTCGTGAAAATAAATAAATAAAAAAATTTTTCCTATTTTTTTTTTTAAGAAATAATTTTGAATCAATCAATCTATTATAAAGCAACAACTAATAATAATAATAATAATAATAATAATAATAATAATAGTAGGAAAGTAAATTCCGAGAAATTTATGTTGATCGTGTACCGGGGCTTTTAAAAATAGCCCTAGTTCCACACTACTGTTACTATTTGCCACATTACTACTGTATACCATTCCACCATGCTACTACACCAGCATATTTTTTACACTGCCTAAATTTAGCAGACAAAACAAATTACATTAATTATTTATTTATGTGTCAGTCCCATAAATACATAAATGAAACATAATATTGCTCTAACACGTGACCTTGGTAGATGTCTTTTAATATTAATATTAAAAATAAAATACTAATACTTCCGAATCATAGTGTTAGCGGCAAATCGAGTTTTAATAACTCGGAAATGAAATTCCGTTTTGATCATTATTATTATTATTATTATTATTATTATTATTATTATTATTATAATATTAATAAATAAAAAAACCGTTTACATACATACAGCCTTCTAAATTTGCTTTTTTTTTATTAAAATGAAAAAGATATTTTTGGAATGAAAATATAAACATTTAGTAGAATTTTTGAAATTTTCAATTTCTTTCTTTTTTTTTTTTTGACAAAATAAAAAAAAAATAAGTTTCATGAATAATAATCTCGGTGACAATTTTTTTTGATTACTAAATACGATAAATAATAGTTTTTTAAATATACATATATTTATATTTATTTATATATATCATTTGATATCGCTATTATTGTAAAAAATAAATCATATCAATGTCGACGACACCAATCAAATACAAATCAGCCAAATCTAAAACAAAATCTGGCCGAGTCGTAAAAAGATCATCAAAGATTAAGAATAAAAGAGACGACGATATTACCATCGCGAATAATGGTAGTGGTAGTGGTAGCAGCAGTTTAATATGTCATGATGTATATTGTCAAACTCAAATAGATGATTATGTGCAAGAATCTCCTCACAATCACAATCACGATCACAATCACAATCATAATCATAATCATAATCGTAATCATATTCATGATCATGAATATAAACTAGATTCAAATAATGACATTATCTCAGGTCAAGAATTCATCAACAAAAATGATAACGAGACTAAATGTGAAGGTGGGGGTGAGGGTGGGGGTGAAGATGATACTAGCCAAATTAAGATCATAAAAAACTGTTCAAAATGTAGAGAATCAAATAAATTTGTGAAATTACTTAACAATAGGTTAAGTAAAATTGAAGATTTAATTGCTAATTTAAATCAAACTATTAATAACAATAATAACAATAAGGTTTGGTTGATTATAATAATAATCATCAGTTATTACTAATAATTTTTAATTAATTAACCAACTAATTTACATTTAGAGTTCGTTGACAGAAAATTCAAATGAAATTTCAAATTTAAGTTTAGAGCAATTACAAACTCTTGTTTCAGTGATAACAACAAATCAAAATGAACAGCAGAAAGAGCAGCAGCAGCAGCAGCAGCAGCAGCAGCAACAACAACAACAACAACATTACTACCATCAACAATCTTTTCAAGATGACAATAACAATAACAATAACAATAACAATAACAATAACAATAATGACGATAGAAAAAGAAAAAATATTTTTATTATAAAAGATGAATCAGAAAATATCTAAATTTTGAAATAATGTAGTAACAAATTTATGAAAACTTTTTTTTTATTTTTATTTCATGTGCGATAGTTATTTGTTATCACCATCATTATTCTTTTCGTTTTCCATTTATCCTATCTTTCTCTCCTCTCTCTCTCTCTCTCTCTCTCTCTATTTGTTTTTCTTAAGGAATTAAGATTTTAATGTGTTCATTCACTTCTTTTCTAAGAGTAACAATTTCCTATGATTATTCATTTATGATATATATGACGGTAACATATACCATTACTACTTACTATATTAATATTAAGATTAATATCAAAAAAAAATTTTTTTAAGCGCGCTTTTATTTTATCCATTAACCATTACTATCTTTTTACTTTATTGCTAAGACGATTTTTGGCCATTTTTTTGCATTATTATGCTAGGGCTTGATGGTAAATTCTCAATTAAATGGGTTGGAGTTGAGATGGCGAGCGAGAGATCTCTACATTCAACTTTCTCCATCATTAACATTTTAAATAGAAATCCTTTTTTTTTAAACGATACCTTTTGTTTATTTAAATACACAATATCTTTTTTACAAATAATCTAACGCTTCCCGAAAGAAAGTGTCCGCGAATCTCGTTTTCTATCAATTACACATAGTAATAGTAATAGCAAAAAAGTATTAATATTATCATGTAGTTTAGAGTCTAACGAAATAAAAAATGAAATGAGTTGAAAGGATTTTGTTGACCATTCTTTATTAGACATGCATGTCCTAACTCTCTCCTTGGCATGCTTTCAATTAATTCACATTAAATTTCTTGAGGAATGTTAAAATATTCCTCAAAACAACCTCAAATTTTTTGAGTACATCTTTAGAATGGTTTTCGCCTTTCTTCCAACTCGTCTCAAAAACGGTAAATGCTATCCATCCTAATTCTAGGCCTGAAAACTACCTCTCTCGGCTTAAAATCACGTATTTAATTGAGCTTTATTATAGAACTTAAGCTACACAAATTTTGCGTAACGAGGCTCGGATACTTTCTTCCGGGCAGTGCATAATCGTCCGGAATAAAGACAAACTAATTCGTTCCTATTTCATATTGTTTATTATGCACTGGTCAAAATTTTGCGGAGAAACTTTCTTGCAGGTTAATATTTTTAAGTTTGTAATAATCCATGTTACAACCGGTAATATGATTCCAAAGAGCCAGAAAATACGTGATTAAGGGCCGTCACCCCCTCCCCACCCCCTCCCCTCAATTGTGACTCGAATTTCGTATAACAAATATTTACACTACATGAATTAAACAAACTATTATAGTCAAATTGGTCAGCAATAGGTAAATTCGCGTTACGACATTATTAATTTTGGCATAACGGGATTTTAGAAAACCTTTTATTATGTGTTTTGTGATGTACGCATTTTCCTTGGATCGTTTATCACATATTATTTGCATAAAATGAACCTTTAATAAGAATAATGTATAATGCTTTGCCACGTAGTACGAGTAGTTTAAAAGCCTAAAAAGAAAAATTTTCAATATATGCAAGTATTTCAAAATGACGTTTTCTTTGAAGGAAAAAACCAAGTTTGGAGGTTTGTAATAGACAGTATGAATATTCACTATATATAATCAAAAGATTAAAGCTACTAAAAATATATTACGTGTAACAATTTGGAGGTAATAAAGTTGTATTATGACAAAGTTGATGCATGTGATATATTTTGTATACAGTAGTAAATAAATGAATTATTTTGTGATGATATCATATTAGAATTTCCATTTCGAATCAAACGAATTACATTTAATGATTGGTTATTTGAATAAAGTTTTGTTCGAATCAACGAATAATTTGGATTTGAAGAAAACCTTATTATACTGGAAAAATTGGGTTTTATTGTCCGGGTAAACCCCCGAGTTATCCTTTGGGTAGAAAATTTTATTCGCCTGACCTTGATAAAATGAAAAAATAAAGCGTAATTCATTTGGTAGATTTTTTTTTAATAACATTGTCACGACAAAATGATATTTGATTGATACATCTATAATTTTAATTTGTGGTTATCTTTTTTCGTTAGGTTTAAAAATAAAATTGTATGTATATAAATTGTATATTTAAATCACATATATAAATTACCTTTTTGGGTTAATAATAGAAGAACAAAACTCATGATTTACATTCAAATCAAAGTTTTAATTAGACTTTATCACATTACTATGGTATGAAATTCAGTGTGGAGTTGTGTTACATGACAATTATACAAATTTGGAATTATATAACGAATTTCATGCTTGCTTATATACCTCTTAAACACCATTTTTGCGAAATCATGCGGCTATATTAAATTTGTAGAGAAATAATCATCATACGTAATTCTATTCTCTCAAGGATCACGTGCAAAATTTGGCGATTTCAAAGAGAGACTCGCAAATTGAGCACCTTACATCCGAAAATTTTACTAGTAAATCATATATAAAGATATTTAAGTATTTTAAATAAAACAATCATTTGAATGAGGAATTGCATGACGAATAGAAACCCTGTATCATCATCTTTCATGATGAAAAATTTTTTATATGAAATTTAAATCAATCACGGGCTCTACCCTTAAATGGAAAACAGAAAATCAATTAATTATCTGCTTTTTTTTAAAAGGCTGCTGACAGTACAGGATCGGTAATAAAAGTCATACATATTAAAATTTCATTATTATTATTATTTTTTGAATTTTTTTAACGTTTTTTGCACGTCGTCTTTGAAATGCTCAAAAACATTTTAAGTGATCACAGCTTGCATTCTAAATGAAAGTTATTTTTCTTCATAAAAAATTTCAGTAATTATCAAAATAAATCTATTGCTCGAATGCATCACGATACACATGTTTAAAAAAAAATGATTTTTGTAATTCATCTTTGGGTTTGTAGATAACCAAATAAAAGTTGTCTTTAGAATTTCAGTCTATTAAAAAAAACCATCGTTTCATCTTTAAATGATACCTTTTAATTTTTCTACCAAAATACAAAATTTTTCATTATTAAAAAATAATAATGATAAATAACTATCATTACCATAATTTGTAACAAGTATAACCAATACATCACTTACAATAATAATAATAAGGAACGAAGAAAATCAATTTCATTGTTATAACCTTATTAAATTTTTTTACTGATAAATTAAGATTTGAGTTTTATAGAGAATAACATTCTTATCATCATCCTATACTGTGCATCTTTAGCTTACATTTTCAGAAATTTAGCCATAGAGCAGTTACACATGTAAACTTTGGTGCATGATAATCAGACTTATCAAAAAAATCATAATAGTTGAAAAGAATAATTGTTTAAAATAGATACTCAACAATTGACTGAGAGGACTGACATAATGAGTTTATCCATTCATCGATGCAAAACTTCTAAACTTGTACTCCAAACATAAAGTTTTTTATTTCTATATTAATATGCATGTTAGTATTGGTGGTCATACAACCAATAGACGGATAATCAGTCAAATTTAAAATAAATACCTGTCTGATTATTTGTTTATGCACAAAAAATGTTTTTAGACCATTTATTATTCAAAGGAGAGTATTTGCCGTTTAGCCGCGGTTAACCCATCAATCTTGGTGTTACAAATCTTTATTATTTTTCATGTAACTATCCGATTTAGGAATAAATACATCAATCTTTATTTTTTTCTTTTGGGCGGGGCTTATGACCAGAGTTTCTATCCGTGATACTAATATTAATTCGAATTATTCATTTATTCATTATTTATTCATACAATTCAATCTTAATTCATTTTGTTCATTTTATTCGAATTATTCGTTATTCGTTTTATTCAAGTTATTCGTTTGTTTGAATAAAATATTCAATGTAATTTGAATACTCAAATTATTTTTATTCGAATAGAAACTATTTTCTAGTAGAAAAAAAAATTTAATTATTATTATTATTACTACAAAGGGAAACCAATCACTACAACTATTATTATTAATTGACTAAGGAAAAAAATATCAATTACTTCTGCTGCCATTATTATTGTTAACATTACCACAAGGACTACAAAGGAAAAATTAGAACTGATAAAGAAAATTTTTTTAATTGGATTTGGATGATACGTATACTGTTATAATTACCATCGGTTATATTATTCGTTTTATTCGAATTTTCCAGTTAAAAGCTAACTGGTTTAACCTCTAGTATTTTCTACAAGGATCAATAAATCTTGTGGAAATATTTTGCCTTTATTTTTATTAATATTCAATTATTAATTGCCAATTATCCGATTATCCAATTGTTGAACAAATTTTATCCAGTGGGTAAAACATTTACCTATAAAAAAATAGTACGTTATTTGAATTTTAATTCCTGAAAATTTGTAATAGTGACAAAGTCCATCTTTCCTCTGTAATATTTCCATGATTTTTCCATGAATATGATACATTTCTGGAGAAACATGGAATTTCAAATCACGGATCAGTTTTTTTTTTACAGGGTTACTGTGTGTCAAACACGTTGAACAAAAAACTAAAAATGCACA